GGAGCTCTGCGGCAGCACAAGGGCTGTTTACTAAGGGACTAAAGGCCAGGCAGGGCCTCTGGTGACAGGGCCCCCACACCCACGGGTCCCCTCCTCCACAGGGAGGCCCTGGACCTCCTAGGTGGCCTCTTCAGACCCTATCCAGCACTACTGTGAAGAGGAAAAGTAGGTTCAGGGAACAAGTCTGGTTCACCTGCTCAACCCACATGGCCTAGGAGGTAGGTGACCCATGGAGGGCCACTGGTAAAATCAGACTCCAGCTTCTTTGCCTCCTTTCTTCTGTTTACACCGGGTCTGAACATCGGGAATTCTGCTCTGGGCATTGCAAGAAGCTTACAGCTCGGTGGAGGAGAAACTGCAGAGTTACCAGTGGGCAAGTATCATGGTAGAGAGACAGTGAATATCTTCTAAGGAGAAGGTTGCTACATAACACAGTGCTGTGTCACAGCCATAACAAGGTCCCACACACAGTGTCTGGAAGGGACTGAGAGTTTGGGCACAGTGGCTGTCCCTGAAAAGGGGGCTCACTTGTGTGGTCAGAACCGGGGCTCCTCCTCTTCCACCATGGGCAGGCAAAGGACAGGATGGGGCCCTGAAGGGCAAGGAACACGAGGGAGGGGCCAGGAAACTGCAGGGCCTGGGAGTGTAATGAGCCTTGTGAGCAGAGGCCAGCTTCAGGGCAGGTGGAGGCTTCTGTCAGAAAGGTCGGCGCTCCCTACAGAAGGGCCGGGCCTCAGGCTGGCGTCTTCCTTGCTCTGCTCTGGCATGCTGCAAGACCTGCCACCCTGTCCTGGGGCTGGGCCTCAGGGCCCCAGATTCTGAGCTGAAGCAGGGAGCCGTCCTTCTCCCCAACGCTGTCTCCAGAGGGCTGCGGGCCCAGGAAGAACAAGTTTATCCTGTTTCTGACAGGTTCCCTTTGAAGTTTCCTGCATCCCTCGTGATCTGCAGGTTGGTGGAGCCCTTTGCCCTTGTGGAGATCCCCTGAGGGCCTGGACAGCAGGGCTCCTGGCTCCGGACTTCCCGGGCCAGGGAGCCAGGTGCACAGCGCCCCCTGGTGAGCAGAAAGAGTTTTGCATGTACAAGGTGACTACTGACAAGGTAGGAAGCCGCGTTTGGAGGATGCATTATAAAGGCTGAGTGGAGCAGCTGAGGACATTCAGGCTCCAGAGCACAGACTTCGGGACCCCTGTGCTCACCAGTTAGTACAGAGAGGCCCGCTCTGGGTGCCCTGACATTTCCTTGGTCCCAAAATGCTCTTCTTTCTCTTCCACCTTTTTGGACACACTTTCTGGCTTGTAAAGAGAGTTCATTTTTAGTTGTATTTCTCCCATGGCTGCCCAGGGGAGTCGCCCTGGAACGTAAGCTACTTGGTTTCCTCAGTCCACCTTTCCGGGCTGAGGTGGAAGCTTCTCCTTCTTTCTCCTCCTTTTGCTTCTCCTTCTTCTTTTGGTACCGGGCGGGAATTGAACCCAGGGCTTTTGCACTGAATTACATCCCCAGTCTTTTCTTAGGTTTTTATTTTGAGACAGAGCCTCAAAAGTTGCCCACGCTGGGTCTGAACTTGTGATCTTCTTGTCTCAGCCTCTTCGAGTGCTGAGACTACAGGCATGTGCTACCACACCTGGCAGACAGAGGCCCCAGAGGGATTCTAGCACACAGTCACACCCCAGTTACACTGGTCCCACCTCTGTCCTGTGTATGCACATTCCCATGCCCGCCCCTGCCTGGCAGGTTCTCTGCCACAGAGGCTCAAGCCGGCTGGAGGACCCTGCTTTGGAAGAAGAGTGTTAAGGTTGATACATTGTGTCAACTTGAGGAGTCCCGAGGTTTGGCTAAGTGACTCAGCAGTTCTACATCCTGGGGTGCAAAGGACATGCCCTTCCTGCTCTAGGATGTTGTTCATTGTGTCAATGTGAGAAGTTTAGAAGGTTAACTATGTGAGTGCCGCCGTTGGGTGGGGGTAGCCTGCTTACAATATAAGGGAGGGAAAGAGGCTTGCACGCACTGCTGTTCCTCCCTTTTGCTCTTATTTTTGCTGTGTTCTGCCGCCATGAATGTTTGCCCTCTGCCATGTGCCACTCTGCCTCAGAGCCAGCCAAGTATGGACTAAAACATCCACAAACCATAAGCTAAATAAACTTTTCCTTCCTTAATTTTGGGTGTTGGGTATTTTGTCTCAGCAACGAGAGAAAAATAACTAAGACAAAGAGATAACCACTTCACATGACAGTCAGGGCCTCACCTTAGAAGCTGGTTCTTTGTTACCTGGGACAGGTACTGAACAAGTATGTATGACTAGAAAGCCACCTGAGTCAATTAGGCATAGTAGGGCATGCCTGTGTCCCAGCACCGAGAAGGCTGAGGCAGGAGGATTGCCAGTTCAAGATGTTGCCTGGGTAATTTAGCAGACCCTGTTTCAAACTAAAAAATAAAAAGGGTTAGGAGAGTGCAGTGATAGAGCACCCTGCTGGGTTTGAGCAAATGGGTGTCGCATGCAGGTGTCACACACAGTAAGAGCTCGGTATCAGTGGGCCACACACTTCCCAGGGTGCCCTCCTCCAGCTGTGCACCGCAGCTCCAGGAGAGTCCCTGAGGGGCTCCCCAGGGACACCTGCTGCTGGCACAGTGACCCAGCACTGCTGCTCACAGCCTCCTGGAAAGACTGTGAGAATTCAGGCAAAGAGAAGACTGACTCTGTCCTAAAGTTTTGTCTCCTGCAGAAGCAGGTCGCTTTCTAGGCACTGTTTGGCCTGGAAGCGAAGGTGGAGAAAGCCAGCGTCTCGCCCTGATCCTGACCCTTCTCGAAAACAGGCACAGTGAACCCTCTAGGAAGCGCTTGTCTGGGCCGATGTCCTGGCTGAGAAGGGCTGTGGGTCAGAAACCAGGGTGAACACCGCCATGCTGCATGATGCACTGTCTAAAGGCTGCTCCTCTGCCTGCCCTGGAGCCGCAGCGCAGCCTGGCTCTCCAGAGCCCAGTGCCCCAGGAGGCCCTGCCTCGCCGCAGAGTGACCGCCACTTGGAGCAGCTGTGTTAACTCCTCAGCTAGACCCAGGGAGGGGCCCGGGAGCATCACAAGGCTCCTCCCCAGGGCTCATCCTGGGGTCCTCCTCCAAGCCTCCCCCTTTGCCCAGATCTGGCAGTGTCCACTCCTGACAGGGCGCCCTGCCTCCTTTAAGCAGGCCCTCAAAGGTGTATGGAGGAGATCTGCAATGGGAAACAGACTTTATTTCCTTTTCCTTGAAATTATTCCCAGCTCTACAAAGTTAGTAAAAATTCAAAAGAGAAAATACAAAACAAAGTGTAGTTACTTTTTTCTGACATTTTACATGTAGTTACACTTTAGAGTTGCTTATGTACAAAGAAGGGTGATTTAATACACAGCTGTGGACTGACACAGTTAAAAGACCGCAGTTCAGTGGGCAGGGCGCTCCTCAGGGCACATCCTCACGGCCGGAGGGGTGCTGCGTCTGGGACACCAGCACCTGCTGTGGAGCTGCTACTGCCCCGCTGCCCCGGGTGCCCGCGTGTGCCCGCTGTGCACCTCAGGGGCATCTGCAAGGGCGCGAGGAGCCAGGCCCTGCATCGAGCCTCAGCCAGGAAGCCGTTCCCACAGGTTAGAGGAAGGGCCAGTGCAGGCTAGAGGAGACCATGTCCCTGTTTCTGTGTAAATTTCGAGTCTCACCTAAAATCCATGCTAAGCATGTGCTACACCCCACCCAGGAGTGCTGCCTGTCTTCCCACAGCAATGACAGCATGCTGTGCTCCCAGTGGACTCTCACAAAGGAAGGGCGAGCCCAGCTTTCCCTGAACACCAGGCTCTGTGCTCTGGCAGTGAGGGGCAGTGGCTTCAGGCAACCACCTGCTGTACTTGGAGCGGCCTGCTCACATGCTTCCTCCTGACGTGGGAGTGGCCTGCTCTCCAAGCTTCCTGGAGGAGTCCCACTGCTCCTGATTCTGAGGGAGCGCCTGAGGGTGAGATTTTGCCTCCTCTCTCTGTTATCACACTCCTGCCAATCCCTGCCTTGCACCCTTGCTGAGCAGAGTGTAAAGTCAGAAAACAAGCACAGGGCTATGCGTAAGCGCCTCCCCGCTCCTCTGCAGGGACTGGAAGCCAGCCCAACCCAGGAGTGATTCCTGGGCAGGGACCCCGGATGCACCTCCACACAAGCCTGCCCAGGGCTCCAGGGGCAGGACGGTGCTGTGACACCTGTGCTGCCTAGTAGCCTGACAGTGGCCACAGGGGCGGGGGGCCCTGCGTCCAGCTGTGCTGCCAAGAAGCCCCACAGAGACCTCTGGAGTTGATGACAGGCCAGGAACTCAGGGCCCGCCCCATGGAGGGGTGCATAGTGCCTGACCCGGGCTCTGCCTGTCCTTGTGGGTAAGACATGTGCACTCAGCCAGATTTGGGATTAATGGACTGACTGGAGAGGGGAGGACAGAGGGAAACACATGGGCCGGTCCTGGACAAAGCACCGCGGTCCTGGGAGCTCAGCAGATCCTGCTCAGGCAGCATAGCTTCACTAGGACAGGACGCTCTGCCAGGTGTCTTTGCAGAGCCTGGCCCAGAAAATGCCTTTCTCTGTGTGGACATTAAAATCTGAAAACCAAGGAGGTCGCAGTGAGTGTGACAAGTTGCATCTGAAGAAATTGCTCCACTGCAGCTGGGTTCGGTGGCACAGACCTGTAATCCCAGCACTCTGGGAGGCTGAGGCAGGGGATTGCAAGTTCATGCCCAGCCTGGACAATCTGATGACTTAGTAAGATTCTATTTCAAATAAAAAAAAATTTTTAAAGGTTGGGAACGCAGCTCAACACAAAGACCCTGTTTCCATCCCTAGTATTGGAAGGAAAGAAGGAAGAGAGGGAGGATCGGAGGGAGGGGAGGAGGGAGGGAGGGAGAGAGAGAGAAAGAGAGAAAGAGTGAAAGAGAAAGAAAGAAAGAAAGAAAGAAAGAAAGAAAGAAAGAAAGAAAGAAAGAAAGAGAAAGAAAGAAAAGAAAGGAAAGGAAAGAAGAAGGAAAGAAAGAAAGAAAGAAAGAAAGAAAGAAAGAAAGAAAGAAAGAAAGATTTGCTCAGTTGCGAATGCAGTCTTGACAGAGCAGAAACTGATCCGCAGAGGTGGATCTGCAGCTCTCCTGCAGGTCCCTCGATTGTGGACCCCCACCAGGAGGCTGTGCTATGATTCTTGATCCATAGGAACAGACACTCTAGACAGCCAGGAGCAGCTGGACTGGTGCAGCTCAGGCAGCTGGTCAAGAACACTGGCGACGCTGGTCGCAGCCAGGCAGGGCTCTGCGGCTGTGGGCTGGCGAGGCTGCGCTCCTAACTGCCAGCTTCTGAGCAGCAGTGGCTGGAGTCAGGGTGGACACCCTTGTGGTGACTCCTGGGTCTTGCTGGGCATCTCCCGTGGTCTGTGGTAGGGACCAGCAGCTCTTGACCGAGGCTCCGTGTGCTGCTGCAGCCTCTGACTGCCTGCCCGGCACCCCTGCAGCTCGGGGTGTGCTGCACAGGCAGGAGTGGGGAGCGAGGCCCCAGAGCACAGGGAGGACACAGGAGATGGCCGTGTGCAAAGCTGTGCCCTGCCAGGGACAACACAGATCAAACACAAGGCCCTGGGAGGGCACAGGGCCACAGGCAGGCAGCTGGCAGACCCGGCTAGGCACCTTCCTAGTCCCGAGAGGCTGGAGGAACCTGCATAGTACCACGAGGGACCCCAGCGTCAGCCTGAGGTCAGCCCAAGGTCAACCCAAGGTCAGGTCAGGCAGGAGGAGAGAGGGAGAGAGGGAGATGGGCATAGACATCTCTTCAGGAAGCACCTGGAGGCAGGAAACGTCTACTGCACCCTGGGGTGCTGAAGTGCTGGGGTCCCAGCTGGGCTCTCACTTGGGGGCCTCGAGGGTGTCGCTCGCCCTGAGGATCACGGACCTGAAGGACAGGTCAAAGGCTCTCTGGTCGCTGAAGCTCTGGGCTTTGTACTTAGTGAAGTGCACCAGCCTCCTGCGCCGCTCGCAGTCTGGCTGGTCCCTCTCTGCCCCTGGCGTGTCTGGGGCCCCCGCCTGAGCCTGGGCCTGAGGGGCCTGGTGGCTCCACACGTCAGGTGTGGCGGGGGTGGGGCTGTCTGTCGGCTCTGGGAGACAAGTTGCTGCACTCTTGTCTCCCTGGGAGGGGCGCCTGGTGCCGGTCTTGCCTGGGCTGCCGAGGCTGGGGGCCGGCACTGAGGGGTCCCTGCTGGTGCCAGCAATAGGTGCTCCCTTGGCAGTGTTGCCAGGCTGGCCCCTGGCCTGGGGCACTGTTCTCTTGGCCTGGCCCTGGTCTTGTGCAGCAGGGCTCCCTACAGCCTGTGTGCCATCCTCCTGGGCTGGGCTGCCCACCTGCCTGACCCTGGGCCCCGGCGGATGCTCCTGATCTTTGGTTCTGACAGTGCCTGGCTTCTCCCTTGTTGCTGGCTTCTCGCTCCCTGCCAGGTCCTGAGCTGCCCAAGGCTCTGGCTTGCATCTCCTGGCCTCCTGGCCCAAAGGTGTTGCCATTGTTTGAAGACTGTCCTGTTGTCCTGTCTGCTGTGAGTACACGGGTCCACAGTGACTCTCTGGTGGGCCCATGCCTGCTGGGGCGGGGCCTGAGCTCTTCACCTTGGGCACAGCGCTGGGCTCTGCCTGCTGGCCAGGGGTAGGAAGCTCCAGGGCTTGCTGGTCAGGCCAGGCTTCCTTGGTGGGGGCCGGACCTGTAGGGTGTGTAGGGAGGCGCACCGTGCGGGGTTGAGGCTGTGGGTCCCATGCCTGTGCCTCTGTAGAGGGCCACCGTGGCTGGCCTAGGTCGCAGCCTGGAGACTCCTGGGAGCGCCTGGCAGTTGGTGTCCGGGAAGTCATGCTGTTGCACAGAGTATCCCCTTCCATGGCGTGGACATCCTTGTTCTCTGTGGAGACATGAGGGCTGCTGGCTCCCGACCTGTTTGGGGCACACGGTCTGGACACAGTGAGTGGCCGGCCAGGGTTAGTGGCATACTCCAGATGCACGATGGGGGGCACCCACGCGGGGCCCCGGACACCCCCTTCTGTGGCCCCGACCCTGTGCATTGAGGGTCCACTTGGTGCACGTTCCTGGGGGAGACCCTTTCCTGCGGTGGCACAGGGGTGCATGGGTGGCGCTCTGCCTCCTTCCTCACCCAAAGTGGCTGGTTCTGCTGCTTTGTTTTTCAGGACCTGGGTGCCAGCCTGTGGCACCATCTGGGCAGACACCTGTGGTGTTTTCTGGGCGCCTGACCGTGGCACTGTGGGATCCGGGACATTCCCAGCAATGGCTGTCTCCCTGGAGGCGGGGATGCCTGTCTTGGGCTGGCCCCCTAGCCAAGACACTTTGTTCTTGCCCAGGTCATGGCTGGAGTTCCCTGGGGCCATCCCCAGGGGTGGAGCCGGCTCTGTTGGGAGCCCGGGACGCTCTTCTTGCCCACAGTGGATGCTCTGGTCTACAGATGGGCAAATCTCAAGTTGTCTGCAACCCTGGGGGGCTGCCAGCAAGGATCCTCTCTCCTGGGGACCTGACCCTGGCAGGCAAGCAGGGGTAGGGTGGGAGCTCCCCGCTAGACGGCTTTCCCATGCTGGGGGATGATGGGATGAGGAGGTCTTATGAGGTGTCTGTGTTTCATTTGATTCTGTCAGCAGCTGTGTCTCACCATTGTGCACAGAGATGGCAGGTCCTGAAGGCCCGGGATGGCTGCAGGAGTCTCTCTTTCCACTGGGAGAACTTGGGGGCTTTGGGGTCAGGACTGTCTGTGGGGCACTGGAGTCCAAGCCAGCAGCATCTTTCAGGGCTCCCTGTGGTCCCAGCCCTGAAGATAGAGAGCTCTCTGGCACCTGGCCTGGCCTGCTTAGCTTTCCCAGGGCTGGGGCATCCCTGTTGTCAGGGTTCCCTGCTGCCACCCTGTCCATCACAGCCTCTCCCTGTGACCCCTGAGGATACCAGGCCTCGTAGCTCAGCGTGCTGGGCTGGGGCACGGGTGGGGCTGGCATTTCAAGGATGACAGGAAGCTGCACAGTTATCTGTGGAGACACCATGCCAGGCTGTGTGCGCTGTTCTGCCCGAACACCTGATGGGGCTGGGGGCACATGGGCTTCAGCTCCCTGCTGGAGCGTGGGCAGCCACCTCTGGATGGCAAAGAGGGGCTCCTTCTCAGAGGCTGGAAGAACACTTTCTGCCTCATCCTCAGAGCTACACACGGTCATGGTGACTTGGGGGCCCTCCCCTGTGCCTTCCCCCTCTCCCCAGATGCGGTCTGCCTCCCCTGCTGCCCTGGAGCCCACTATCCTGTCCCTTGCAGCTGGCTCAGCACCACCGGGGCTGGCTGGGTCGAGCATGGCCACAGTCGGTGCGTCGCCATTAAGGGCTCTGTCTTCGAGGGAAGCACAGGAGAATTCTGGCTGGGGGCCACCTGCTGTACTCAGGGCCATGTGGGGGGCTCCAGGAGCCATGGCCTTGGGCACAGAGGACTGTTCCCTGGGATTCCTGCTCAGGAGCTCCACTCCTGGGGTTTTGTTCCCACCAGGCTCTGTGTGCCGAACTCTGGGGGACAGGCTGGCCTCCACCTTGGCCTGACGCCTGGCATCCAGGTGACTGATCTTGGCGCAGCGGGACAGCCAGCTGCGGGGGCTGCCCACCACGGTGGCGATGCTGAGGGCCGGCAGAGGCTCAGCTGTGCAGGCCAGAAAGTGGGCGGGGGGCATCCTGGTGCAGCTGGTGGCCATGGTGGCCGTGTGGAGCATGCGGACCTCCGGCCGGTGCATCCTCCTCTGCAGGGCCCGGCTTCTCCGGTCCTCCTTGCGCAGTGGCAACATCCTGGCCTCCGCATGGAGGCAGCCGCTCTGTTCAAACCTCTCCCGAAGCTTGGACAAGATGGTGCTTCGGCCACCCACCCTTGGCGGGGGGCCCCTGGAGGCTCCAGGCCTCAGGCTAGGGGGCTGCTCACGCGTGTCCTTCTCCTTGGCCTCCTTCTCCTCTGCTGCCAGGAACTTCTTCAGGATGGTCTTCACTGTGCCCTTCCCGCCTGGGCCGCCCCAGCGGGGCTTCTCTCGGGCTGCCGGCCTCTGGCTGGGGCTGCTGGCGCTCCCCTGGGCCTTCTCCAGCAGCTTGTTGATGGTGGCATTCACGAAGCTCCGGCCAGGCCCCTGCCTGTCCTTGGGGATCAGCCGACCCACCTCTCTCCTCTTCAGGGGCGGCTCTCTGCCCCTGCCCATGAACTTGGCCTGCAGAAGCTGGAAGCGAGTGGGCCGCCGGCTGGCCTCTGGGAGCAGGGCTGGGTGACTGGCCCTGTGCTCCCCATCCTTGGCCCTCAGGGGCCCTTCGGTGCGGTCCAGGACGTAGAACAGCAGGCTGCCCAGCAGGGCCTGGGCTGCCTCGCCACTGGCCCGGCCAAGCCTCTTCCTCAGTGCCTGTGCGTCCATGGATACTTTGTCTCCGTGAGTTTTGCTGCTCTTCAGGCTGCGGGAAAAAGAGATGAATGGTCACACGCGTTATCATCACCGTCCCCAGGCAACTCCACAAGACACTGCTGGAGGGGAGCCCCGTACTCTGAGCATCCCCAGCATCCATAGGAAGAGTGGGAGCTGGGCGCCTGGTCTACCAGGGGCTGCCCAGGACTCACCCCTGTTGCCTGATGAACCACACTAACCACCGGGGGGCTTAGAAATTCAGGCCCACAATCATTGGCTCTGCAAAAGCACCGTGGAAAACCACTGTGCCTAAAGTGTTTTTAAATAAAAAGGATATATTTCACTTGCATTAATAGGCCAGACATTTAAGTATAAAATTTATATTCTCTGTGTGGTTTGTACACACCTCCAGTTTTAATAGGAAAGATAAAATTAACAATATACTGTATTCCACCACAATCCCAAGAGCCTGGGAATCTGAGGTGATCTGCAGTCACACCCCCTCTGACCCTGGGGGGAAGGAAGTAGGACTATTTCCTCATTGGGCTCGTGGGCAGGAAGTAGCTGGTGCAAGTGGGGTGCTGGCTCCCAGGAGCAGCCACAGCAGGAGGGGAAGGAGCCAGGCCCCTGAGGGCTCCCAGAGGGATCCCCAGGCTGGAGGGCACTTGTCACATATTTCCCTGCCAGTCCCTGGCTCCTCCGCCAGCCAGCTGGCCTGGAGAGATAGGCTCCTATTACCTGACAGGGTTGGCCAGCCAGGGGCAGGCTACGGAGCTCCACTCCACGGTGGCCTGGACCACAGCAGAAGGGCTCCCGGTCAGCCAGAGCCACCTCCCACCTGTCTAGGTGATGATGGTAAGATCACCCTGAGTTTTGGCATCACAGCTGCACCTGTTCATGACTCATTCTAGAGTCAACCAGAGACAGACTGGAAATTCAAATACCACAGGGAAGGTCTTCACTGTGCTAATTATAGGATTACAACCCTAACCCTGGAAGCATCCAAGGGCTGGGGCATGGCTCAGAACAAGAGCTTTCCCCTGGCCTGTGTGGAGCCCTGGTGCCCTCCCAGCACTGCAGAAGTAAATAAGTCAATAAACACTCCGATGTCTAACACATTAGAGTGTTAGACTGCTGCTTAAATAATGGTGCATCTGTAGACAGGAAATGGCGGTCCCTGGATCTGCTCAGTGGAAATGCCAAGCTGCCAAGCTGCAGAGACTTTGGCCAGCTGGAAAAGGACTGGCAGGATGTGCGTGGCCATCACCTTCAGAAGGGGGAGTCTGATTCTAGAAACCACTCTTTAAACGCACTCACCAGGCCACCCTGGTGTCCGGTGGGGTGACAAAGTCCCCACCCCATCCCGGCCGATCACACATGGCTGCATGACTGTGGCCATGGATGGACTTCCATACCTGTGGACCTATGGACCCAGATCTTAGGGTATAGGCAGGCCTCCAAAACCCCTGCGAGGCCCTCACTGTCATGTGGGCCCCACCTGAGAGCCACCAAGAGGGCTGAGAAACCTGAGCCTGGGGACAGCCATCCTTGTGGAAACACAGGGTGGATGAGTCCCTAGGAAGAGAGCTACAGCTTGGACACACCCAGGCCATGATGCAAGAATGGCGCCCACATAAAAATAAGTTAATCCAAGGAGCAGCTGCGCTGAGCCTGGCCCTCATGCCATTGTTCTGAGTAATGGGGACTCAAAGCACCAGCCCCCCGACACAAGGAGTCTTGCAGTCCTCATAAGGATAGAGCGATCCTGGCATTGGCCCTGCCACCCAGCCCCTGCCACCCTTCTCCTCAGCCCAGCGTGGACAGATCTGCCTGCAGCTGGCATCTAGGCGGCAAGATACCCAGGAGCCATGGGTTTCAGCACTGCGATGGCAGGTGGGCTTAGGATCAAGTGCCATGCACCGGGAGTGTGGCCAGCTTTCCCCACCTGAGGGTCTGACACCTCCCTCTGCAGGTGCAGTTACCCAGGAGGCTGCCCAGGGAGAGAAAAGCCTCCTTTCCCCAAAGACGCTCAGCCTCCAGGATGCAGTGGGCAGCAAGGTGGAGGGTTTGGGTCGAGGAAAACATTCCATGTTCCCACAGCCCCACACTCCCTGCCGGGCCTGAAAGACACACTGCATTGGTGCTGGGCTCCAGGAAGGCTGTGTGCACTGCTGGAGTGGGGGTTTGGATGTGCCATGACCCACACCATCCCTGCAGCAGGAGGTTTACATGTGGGGCAGCATCTCTCATGTCCCAAGGTCCCATAAGACATGGCATCTGCTAATCAGTGGCTGCTTCGGCTCAGCATCTTGGGGCTGGCCCCTGGCAGACACCCAAACTCACCCACGTGCCACCTCAAATGCTTCACCCTCTTGTTTCCCCTGCCTCTAGAAGTGGCATCTCCAGCCCCAGGAGCCCTGGGCACCCAGAGCTGTCTCAGCCCAACACCACCCCAGGTGCTTGTCCTAAGATGTCAGGTGTGCTAGACATATCCTCATCCCAAGAAGCGCAGCCCTCAGGTTTTCCTGCCCCAGCCCAGGACAGATGGCATCCTCCCTCCTGTCTGCTGCAGGCTCATGTGACCCCCACTGCTAGCCCGAGCCAGCAGGACCCTGCCCTGTCCTCCAGCTCCAGGTGGGCTCTCTGTACTTCCTGAAGACACTGCCCTCCTCCCTCGCTCATGTCATGCTCACCGCCATGGGTCCAAGTATGAGTGCCGAGGGTCCTGCACACACAGAACTCCAGCATGACTCACACCCAGGTCACACTCTCCAGCTGGTGCTCTCTGTCTCTGTGCATCCATTCCTGCTCTGCCATGGGGCTGAGAGCCTCCTATGGGTGAGTGCTGCTACTTGCCCCAGCTGAGCTCCACGTGCCAGGCCACACACATACTTGTATCCAAGTCCCCAGGAGCCACAAGACCTGTGGGGACATGAGGTGAGGACCTCGCTCTCAGGGCCCAGACTTACCTGCCCAGGTGGGGAGGACGTCGGTGGAGCCCTTGTCCTCGGGAGCTCTGTGCTCACCTCCTGGGAGCTGACTGGGCTATTTCAATCATCTCCAGGACTTCTCAGGTTGAGTCATTAAGATGACTGAAATAGCTGCTCGGCTGCGTGCCGTGGGACATGGTGATCATCTGACTAACGGCAGTGATGGTCCCCACTTCCCGCTGAGCCTCGTGTCTAAACTGAGCGCTGGCTTCAGTCCTCCCTCCCGAGGCGGGTGACCTGGAGCAGGTGGGGTCACATGAAGGCCATGTGTTGCCTGGACACTGTACTCCCCATGGGGCACTGGGTGCCCTGGAGGTGCCCATGCTGGGGCCGTGACACCTTGTGGTCGTGAGCAGAGTCAGGCCCATGCTGGATTTGCTGTGTGCTCGTCCCACACCATGGAGCCGCAGTGCTCCACACCCACTGGCTGCCCTGGCTCAGGCCTGCTGTGGTGCCCAGTGTGTCCAGTGTTCACCAGCAAAGGCCACTGTGGCCCTCACAGGCCATCTGTCTCCTTGGGCAGACTAATAGTCAGCCCAGCTGGAGTTCTGGAAAGTTCTGCAAAGATCTCAGAGGTGCTCTTCGTCATGGAGCAGGTCAGATGCTTTTCTAAGCTTTACAGCCAGACAGGGATTAGGGGCTGGACCAGAGCCTTGCACTCTCCTTCAGGGAGCCGTGCTGGCCCTGGCCCCATGCCTGCAGCAGGAGCGGGGATGCTTACACGCTGCAGCCCGGTCCTACTGGCTGTGATAGAAAAGGGGGTCCTCAGCTTTTGCTAACCACAGTGCCTCATCCCCCTGGGCCTGCCCTCTGCCCTAGCCTTCCACCACTGCTGCCCTGTCCCTGAGGAGTCTGGCCCCTCCTATCCCTACCCTCCTAGTGAACTCCGGCTGCCCACATGCTCTTGGGCTCCTGGGTCTTGGTTTAAGCCCAGCAGGAGGTGAAGGTACTGGGGACCCCAGAGATCACAGAACTGGAGGGACGCAGCTCTGCGTGTCTCCAAGGCACCAGTCCTTGTCTAAGCCTCCGCCCCTGTGACCAGCACCTCTTCTGGGCTGCAATCCAGTGCCCCAGCCCATGTTGAGTGGATACTCTGGCTCCTCCCCAGCAGTAGCCACACACAGGGCTGAGCCTATGACCAAATGCCTCAGGTGCTTCGATGAGCCACAGAGCCGAATCTCCCTCCAGGGCCAACACAAACATGGGTGCAGTAAGCCTTCCTGATTCAGGCCTCAGCGCCCTGACTGGCCATGGAGGTCATCTGAAGGGCAAGTAGGCTGAGCTGCTCGCCGTTGGGCTTCCAGGTCACCACAGCACTGCTGGGCCACTGTGGCACTCACAGGGAGCAGCCCTGCAGGCCCCACCCTGAGGCCCTGGTTGCTCCTCATTTCTGTCCTTGGTAGCTGGGCCTCAACCTCTGTACCCAAGTCCCTGGCCATGCTAGGGCCACTGGAGCCTGCGTGACCCCGCTCCAGGAGTCCACCTGCCTCTGCTCCTTCCTTGGAGAAGTGGGGTCTCAGATCAGCTCAAATCAGGCTCCACAGGACCCCTGAGAGACCTCACACTTGTCCTGCGGGACACTGGGTGCCCATAGCAAACACTGGCTTAGAAGATGCTTCTGGGCCCCTGGCAAAGGGCGGCCATACTGCCATATCCGGCTGCCAAGGACATGCCCTCTGCACTTGCTAGGGGCGCCCCTCCTAGCCCCTCTGTGCAGACCCGCCGGTCGCACGCCCGTTGTCTGTCTGTCCCTTCGACGGCTCCTGTACTCAGCCTAAGACAGCCTTGTCACATGCCCCAGGGCCCTGTGTGCCAGCCAGGGGACCCTGTCTGTAGAGACACCTCTGCCCCACTCTGTGGGGCTGCGGGCAGAGACGCAGCAGGTCTCCCTGCTCCTCCTCACCAACAAAAGGTGGTACCTGGCTCATGCACCGAGTGGCCAGCATATCCTGGCTTCATAGCTGCTTCCTCCTGGTGCGTCTACCATAAGCCATGCAGGCCAGGAGCTGCTCTCTCTGCCTGGCTGCACTATGGGGGGCACAGTGGAAGGGGCCATTGTCTGCCATCCATAGCCCCTGGACCCCAGCTCCTGGTGGGGCTTTAATCGCTGTGCTCTGGAGGGACAAGGTGGCCTGAGGGTGGGGACTTTCAAGGCCGCCCCATGGTGGTCTCAGTTCTGCCCGATGGTTGAGAGGCACAGTACGCAGCCAAGCACTGATCTAGCACCTGGAACAAGGGTTGCATGGCTTGAGCCCACAGAGGACGGATGACGGGTGCCCCAGAGCCCACATGTCCATTTGGACCTACCGCAGCCAGGCAGGGCGGGGTCGCCATGTCAGCGTTAGGGAAAGAGGCATTAGGCTCGTTAGTGCTTTTGATAGAGAAGGCAGGTTTTAAAAGCTGTCTGGAGTCTTCTCAATGGAGAGAAGGAACCCAGAGCTGCATACGTGTGGGCACTGCCCCTGCCCATGAGCTGTCTTTCAGAAGAGGGCCTTCTCTGTCTGCCGAGGGTCCCAGATTTCACAAGTACATCTATTAGATTTATGAATAAGAAAAACCTAATACCAAGAAAGTTCTTTCTAAAAAGCCCAGAAGCCCAGAGCTGAGTGGGTGCAGCACAAGTGTGGCGAGGCGGCCTGTGTGGTCCTCGTCTTGCCGGGGCCGAGGTCCGGAGCCCGCTCCAGCAGACTCGGCCGAAAAGCTGGCGCATGCACAGCAGTGCTTCCCCCAGCAGCACTGTTCTCTCGGCGAGCAGCTGGAACCACACAGCTGAATCACTTTTCACTGCCAGTGTCTGACTCCTAGAAACACAGAAGGGTGGCCGTTGGGACCGCGCCCTGGGCCTGGCACCCCGGGCTGTGGGGCTGAGGGCTGCTGAGTGCATGCACCGAGTACAGTCTGTCAGCAGAGAGCTCCAGGGGGCCATGCGGCCCTCAGCACCTGCCAGGCTGGGTGCTTGGGGAGAGGGGCACTGAGGCTCTCTGGTGGGTTTGTGGTTTAAATAAATAGATGAAAAGGGACCCCAGCACACTCTAGCACAGAATGTAATCTGTCACATCAGAATGGTACCAGCAGGTTGGTAACAGCATCATGTCAGGTTAGACTTCCTGACTGAGGAGCGAGTGGCCCTCACAGAAGAGCACATTCTTGACTGAAGTCTGCGAAACATGGACCGTCAAAGCATGCAGCTCAAAGATGAGTCTCAGGTGGTCCTGCTAAAGTGTGTGTGTGTGTGCGCGAGCGTGAGTGTGAGAGACCCCGCATGTCTCTGCATGTGTCTCTGTGTCTATCTCCGCATGTCTCTGTGTCTGCATGTCTCTGTGTGGCTGTCTCTGGTGTCTGCGCCTCTGTCTGTGTCTGTCTCGCTCTGTGTCTGTGTCTCTGACTCTGTGTTGTGCACAGGTGTGTAGTGAGCCAGGCCAACAAGACAAGAGGCAAGGGTGGCCTGGGGTCGGTGTTGGTGATCGGGGTGGAGGAGACATGGGTGCTGTCTCACGAGTTTTGTGACTGTTTGTGAGTTTGAAAGCACTGGAAAACAATAAAAACGGGAAAGGAAGGAAGCAAAGCCAGTGTGTGACATGTGGCACGCAAGGACCCCATGATGCAGGGTCTTGGGGCAGCACTCGGGGATTGGGGCTCCTTGATGCCTGGGACACTTGGGAGGTCACTGCAGGGGTGCCCGCCTGAGCCCAAGCAGAGGCAGGTGGTGGCCCTGAATGGTCCCCCTCGGGCATGAGAGGCCACACAAGGGCTGATGACTCTGGGGTCATCTGCAGCGGTCCCTGGACAACAAAAGGTCAGGAGCGGCCCTGACGGCTACACGCTGTCTTGTCCCTGCAGCCACCCTTCCGAGCTGCACGACTGGATCAGGAAGCCATCCTTTCCTTTCCTGTCCCCGTGTGCACTGTTCATTCCTGGTTGCTAGTGGGGAAAGGAGCGGCACAGCGGGGACTGTCTGCCAGCGGCCCGGCTGAGGGCGATGTGGGAAGGTAGGGACACACTCGGGCGTGAGGTCGTCTCCTCAGGGCTCTGCTCCAGTGAGATACTCAAGCCGTCAGCAGCTTGGTGCACTCACCCACCTCCCCGCCTCACGGAAGAGTGGGCTAGGGGAACGACCGCTGTAGCTGGTGGCTCCTTACCCTGACCAGCGCGGAGCACTGGGAAGGCAGACACGACCAGCTCTGATTGGAGCCAGGCTGTGGGGCGCGGGGCTGTGTACATTTTACAGTATGTGTTTTAAGTTTTGCCATTATTTCCTCTGTGCCTTTTTTTTTTTTTTTTTTTTTTGAGACAAGGTCTCACTAAATTGCCCAGGTTGGCCATGAGCCAGAGATGCTCTTGCCTCAGCCTCCTGAGTAGCTTGGATTATAAGCTCCATCCTGCCTGGATTTTCAGTGTCTTTTTAAGAGCCTCTTCAAGGCTACCATGTCTGCCCAGTCATTTAACCTCCAGAACCTGCGCCCTCCAATGTCAGAAAGGACCATATCTGCCAAACCCACATCTCACCTGGCTTTCACATAGGAAAACCCTGAAAAATGACTTTAGCTACACATGGAAGATCTCTCAGCCATCAATTGAGTTTGGGAAAGAAATTAGTCAAACTCAACCATGAGTCCAGGACTTACGTCTCCCTGCCCAGCCTCTGCCCACACTGTGGGTTTTCACACAGGACTTGTGTGTGTGCCTGAGGGCTCTCTCCCTGAACGGCTTCCCAGCACCTGAGCCCTGGGTCTTGCTTCCTTGCTTTGTTCCCTATGTTCCCAGGCCCCTGAGAGGGGAGGTGGTGACAGATTTAGGCAGAAAGCAGGGTGCAGCAGGCCACATCTTCCACACACACCTGCCTGCATCCTCTGGTTGTCCCCAGGGAGAGGCACTGACCCTGGCCCTGGGTACCAAAAACTGCATGGTCCACCTGGGTCCCTGGAGAAAAATGCCCCAGACAGCTACACCTCTCAGTGCCCCTGGTCATAGATACACACTGTTTCTTAGGTCTCAGAGAAAGAATTCCACCAATGAAACTACAGAGCACAATAACACAGGATGCATCACAATGTCAGAAATCTCAAAGCAAAACAAACCCACGTCCCAGCAATATAGCATCACTGTGCTGTTGGCAGATTGATTTCTTTTCAGAAGAAGTGAGAAAGTACATTGAAAGTAACCATAAAGAACAGAGGATTAAATGTTAAGAAATGGAAACAAGCCAGGTGCAGTGCATGCAGTCCCAGCTACGCAGGAAGCTGAGGCAGGAGAATCACAAGTTTGAGGCTCTGACAACTTGGGGAGACCCTGTCTGAGCATAAAAAAATAGAAAAAGAGTGAGGGTGTGTCCAGTGGTAAAGCACCCTGGACTCAGTCCCCAGTGCCAAAGACAGGAAACCATGGTCCATCGAACACTGAGTGTGGGTAGCCGTTTCAGGGAGGCGGCAGAGCTGGACAAGGCTGGGAAGAAGGGGCTGAGGAGGGAGGCCCCTGCAGCTTCTCACCAGAGCTGGGGCACCATGAAGGCCTATGTGTGCCCAGCACACCCAGCGGGACTCTTCTCCTAAAAGGCCACTCTTCTGGATTATGCGTGCAGCCTTTGCTTTCCCGGTTCTGGCTGAAAACAGGTCATTGCCTGATCCGCTCTGAGCCACAACTAAGATGGGGAGAGGACAGGGCCGATCAGAACCCAAGATGACAACCTGGGGGGTGGTGCCCTCACTGTGCCGCCCACAGCTGTGCCAGAAGCTGGGCCTGAGAGAGGGGAAGCCTGGCCTTGTTCACACCATCAGCCAGGCCATGCTATCGCCTGCCCACGGCTCTGAGCTACACCCACAGGCTGGCTGGCCATGCCCAGTGCAGCAGATGTGCCCAAAGCCGTTAGGCAGTCAGCCCCATTGGGCCCACCCCACTGCAGGCCACCCCAGGGTGGCGTGACAAGAGGACCAAGGGGACCAGGCAGGCGGCAGCAGGAAACCTTTGCTCCTGGCCTTCTCAGGGAGCTGTTCTGAAGGCTGGTGAGACAAAATGCACAGCCTCTGGCTTCCCGGTGGCACCTGGCATGGGCGTCCCCTGACGGTGAGGACAGCCACCCCTTAAAGCACTAGGAGGCTGCAGGTGTCCCAGCCATTCAGACCCACATCAGGGAGGCAGAGAGAGTGAGGCAGGTGCTCGAAAGGAGAGGCATTGCGGTTAGTGTTCAAGTAAGTGAGCAAATGGCATTCATTCGTCTGCACAGAGTAACTTATACCACGTCCGGGAGACTACTCTTAGTGCTATATTTGCAGACCCAAGCGTAGCAAGGCCAGGATAACATCAAAAAGCTCTAGGCTCCAGTGAGGTCAGGAAAAATATTCTGGCTGGACAAACAATGTACTTTATACAGCACGTGGTATTCAGAAGGGGGTTAACGTGTAATTGCGGCGCAGTACACCCTCGCCCTGGGCGGGGGCTCAAGTGTGTGTGCACATGCATGTGTGCACGCCTGTATGTATGTGTAGACCCCAGGGCGCCCTCTGGGGGCCCGCGGACGCGCGTTACTTCTCCTCTGTGGACAGGCGGTGCAGCGCGGTGCCCAGCTCCTCCAGTCTGGCCCTGTGCTCCAGCTCCTGGTACAGGCCCCGGGGGACGGTGTCCAGGCCGTGCAGCAGCCCAAATAGGCAGCCAGCGATTGCTCCTGTCGCGCCACTCTCACCTGCAACGCAGACACAAGTGGCTGAGGCTCAGCTGCCGGGCCCTTGGCACCCCCTCTGCCGCGCTGTGACACCGGGGCCCCCTCTGCTCGGGGAAGAACACAGCAGGACGCTGCAGAGGAAGGAGAGAGCAGGACCAGGGCCACAGCTGCCAAAGACTCCTGCCTGGGAGCAGATCAACCCACAGCCACATGGACACGCACCCATACCATGTGCACATACACACTCTCACACACACACCAGCTCCACACTCACGGCCCCAGTCATACCCACATGGACACACACCCACAGGGATATGTGCACAAACACACTGTCATATGCACATGCACACCAGCTCTCACACTCACGCACACAGACACACACCCACACAGACGTGCACATATACACTCTCATGCACACACACACTACCTCTCACACCCACATTCACACCACACCCACTCTGAAATTCTTATTTACACACACACCAAACATGCCCACACACTACACTAAACTCACACGAGCACAACTACACTTATAACCACATTCATATACACTGCAACACTCAGCCCACAATCAAACACACACCTATTACACACTCACACACACACACAGCACTCTCACATGCACACACTCTCACACCCATCCAGAGACACACTGGCAGCACAGCTGGGTTCACAGCCAAGGCTCGCTGGCTCTCTCCCGGCTCTGTGTCTGCAGTGTCGGGCCCTGCTCTCTCCCTGCCCCTCAGGCCGGCCAGTCCCATGTCCTGAATGCCCCCTCCCTCTGGCCTCTGGCTCACTCACCCTCCACCCACTTGCTCTTCCCTTGGACCCTCCGCTTGCTGTTCCCACCCAGGGGTGCTGGCCTCAGCAGGAGAAACCATGAGCCTAGACATCAGCATCGGGCGCTCACCTTGCCTGCCCTGTCTCTGCTCCACATTAGCTCCCTATGGGGTGGCACTGCCAGGAGAAAGCTGGCTTGGAAGCCAAGCTGCCTCACCCAAGACCCCTGTGTGTGGGAGGCTGGAGCTCACGCCAGATCTTCAATGGAAGTGGCTGCTCTGGAACTAGCAGCACCAAAGGACAGGAGCCCTGTCACCAAACGGTTCCTGGTGGGGTTTGCAGGTCCCCAGGTATGGAGGTAGCTGGGTGGCCGCAGGGGGCACTGTGGTGAGAACCTTCTAGAGGGAGCTGGGATGGGACAGCCTGTCCACGTCTGAGGAGCTCCGGGACGGAGGGTGCCTCACCTCTGTGGAACATGGCGCGGTGGCACAGCTCAGCCCAGCTGCTCCCTGCTGCAAGGAGGGCATCATAGGCAATCATGGGTGCGTCGTGGCCCCGTCGTCCCCCTCGGCCTTCTGAGCTCCACTTCTTATAAATCTGGAGAGACCCCACGTCAGGGGCATGTCCCAAGCAGAACACATTGGTGCAGGCAGCCCAAGGTCTGGGATCCCTCTGTAGCTGCCATCCACTTATCCATCCATCCATCCATCTGTCCATCTGTCCATCTCTCTATCTGACCACCCCTCCATCCCTTCCTCTCACCCTGGGATGCTGGCTCTCAGCAGGAGAAACCATGCACCCGAATATCAGTACCACCTGTCCCTCTGCCCACTTGTGCCCGTGTCCACCTGTCTGTCATCCATCCACACCACCACTGACTGTGCAGTTCCAGTGCTGGGCATGACTCACCTTGTCCCTCTCCTCTGCGTTGTCATAGTTGTCGGGAAAGTAGGCTTTATTTTCTGTGTCATCACTGATTTTTCTCTCCTCCAAATAGAACTGCCATTTAGCTTCAAAGTAAAACCAGTGCTCCTGGTACTCTAGATGCAAGCATAGGTGAGTGGCTGGGGTCATTCTGTGGGTGGCTCTGGGAGGGTGGAGGGATGTACCCAGGGGTGTCCCGCTCTGGGCTGCAGAAAGAAGGTGGAGATGACGTGGGTCTGGCCTAGAGCTGGACAGGGCTGCAGCAATCTAGCGCCGTCTGGCAGAAAGCCGAGCCTTGTTCTCACTAATTTAACATGGTGCCTCCGCACAGGGACAGGAAGTACCACATTCTTAGTTAGCAGTTTCTGCCCGGGCCCTGGGAACATGCGGCAACCCTTGGTGGTTTGGCTGGTGAGGAGGACACACCACACAGTGCCCTTCTGAGCTTTTGAGACTCAGTCTAGGCCTGGCTACCCTGTCCCTGAGGGAGCTGGGCATAAGGGACATACCTGCAGACTGAGTCAAAGCTGGGGACAGTGTGGAGAGGGGGCCAGAGGGGTCTCAGGTAGCACTGGGCTTGCACAGTTGATCAGGGGACCCACGGGGGTCATGCCCATCTCAGGATATGGGCAGTGTGGGCGCACAGCACACTGGGCCCAGACAGTGGCCATATGGCTCTACAAACAGTTATACAAAGCCCAGGCCAGTGGAAGTGTTATGGCTCCTCACTGCCCTGGGGACCTGGGATGGCCCAGGGGAAGGTATCCCAAGTGTGCCAGATCACACTCCCCAAGGCTTCCTGGGAGGGGTGGGCTGGGCATCCCTGTAAGAGGACTTGGGACTCCAGTAACAAATCCGCCACCAGCAGACCTCTGGTCTGATCTTCAGAGCCATCCCTGGCTGGTATATCTCAATCCCCCAGAAGCAAGGTATGGTTCCTGGTCAGCTGGACAGTGGGTTCCACCCTCATGAGGCCTGGACTCTCCCACAGAACATACTGATGAGGCAGCTCTGTGTGCAGTGCTGGGCTGTGTGCAGTGCTCCCCTCTGCAGGCCCTCACTGACACCAGGCCTGTCCTACACCAAGGTCATGACTTCACTGCATCCTTCCACGCTGGTGGGACATCTGTGCCACCTGGGATGGATGAACCAGGCAAAGGACGCGCAGCTGTCCATAGTGCTGTGGCTGTGTCTTGCGGTAGGGCTCACGGTGGCCGAGCCCAGGGGAGGGGGACAGTGCTCAGGCAGGCTGGCAGTCACCATGGGCCCAGTGTCCTCCAGTGCTGTGACCAGGTACCTTCAAAAGCTGTTCCTGAAGGCTCCCCTCACAGGCTGACACTAAAGTGACGCTCATCTTTCACATCAAGGCCCCTGCCTCAGGCTGGTGTGACAGGCAGTGACCCCCAACCTGCCCTTCCCCTTCTGTCCCCTCCTCCAGGACATATCAGGCTCCCTCAGCGCAGAAGAATACCCTGGGGCACTCGCCCTGTGGCTCAGCTCTCTTCTAGAGCTGAGGGCCCTCCTGTGGGTAAAAGAACCTGCTAGAAGCATTGGCCTGGAGAGCACCCTGGGCTGCTGGCCAGCGTGTGACCCTGCATCTAGCTGCCCCATGGCTCCCCTCAGCAGGGCCTCCTGACACTCACTCCCCCAAATTTTAACAGGGTAGGACTCTGGGACCTCTGCTTGATGGGCTGGTTAGCACATCACGGGTGTCAGGGCGGCAGGCTCTGGTAAGCAGGCAGCAGATGCCCACTGTGGGCATGGGTCTCTGGGGTGTGTGGCAGGGACACACACACCTCCAGGCTGGGTGGAGGTGAGGAGGGTGGTTCCGGGCACATGTGTGCTCCCCTTTCCCTAGAGGGGCGTGTCTCCCTTCTGCCCCCTCTTGCCCTGACAACACTGGCTTAGTGTGGGAACTCAAGCAGGAATTAGCTTGCTACTGCAGTCAGAGGCAGAGCTTGGATGAACTCCGGCTCCACGTGCACGCCTGGCACTGCTGTGGGCCGCCGTCCTCACTGCCAGGTGGGCGCATCACCCATCCCTGGAGACCAGCTCTGCTCACCTGCCATGTGCCGGATGGTCCTCTTGCAGTACTCCTCGGCCAGCGGAACAGCCCTCAGCATGTCTCTCCCCCACTGCACCAGCGGCTTTCCTTGCACCGCATAGGATGCAAACAGGGCTGTGCACAGGGACCCGAGGAAGCCTGGGGCATGGAGGAGAGATGGCTCCATCACCCAGGCCATACAGAGCACGCAGCTGCGTGTGTCCTGACCTCGCATCCCTCCTTCCTTCCAGGGCCGTGTGTGGTGGGCTCTGCATTGGACCCTGTCAGGTAAGGACTGGGCAGCTACTTAACACAGCTGTTCCACGGAAAGCAGCAGCCCGAAATGGCTCTGGGTCTCCCCCATCCAGGAGGCAGGATGACCCCACATGAGGGCTGAGTGCCCCAACGGTGTCCACCTGGGCACTGTGTCCCCTGCCTCCTCTTGGGCTTGACCGGCACTCAGGGACACTGACCCTCGAAGTCACAGACTTGTGACGCCTGCTGCCAAGGAGGGTCCCATTGGAAAGGGGAGGGGAGAGGGCGCATTTCCAAGTGTGTCTGCATGGGCTATGCCTGGACACCCTCAGGCGCAGCCCAAAGCAGGTGAATCCTTGTACTAGCAAGTGTGTGAAGGGGTTTTCAAGTCAGAGCAGAGACACACTGGCAAGCGCTTTGGAAGCTTGGGTTCAGAAGGCAGACTCCTGCGTCCTGATGGTGCTTATAGTGCCGGCACTTCTGGGCTGGAAGGTTTGATTTTGGATTTACTTCTAGCTGAGCCAGTCAGTCAGTAGGTGCCCCGTTCAAACTCCTTTCCAGCCACCCAGATTTGGCCCGTGGGCTGACTCGGAAGCTAAGGACGGGGACCGCAGGCCTGGCACTCTTGGTGTGGGCCCTGGCACATGCCATGCAGCTCAGGGCTGCTCTCATCCATGCTCAGGCACTATCTGGGGGATAAGTGATGACTCCAGCCACACCAGCCCTGGAAGGGTGACTTGGAAGGCTTCTGCATGACAGGGTGACAGGGAAGGCTGAAGGCAGGAGGGTGCCACCCAGCACCTCCTCACACCTCTTGGGCCACTGCCAGGGCTGCATTCTGGGCTGGGAAGCTGCCACCTGCTCTCTGTGAGGACTTGTCCTTCTGGGTGACACAGTGGTGGAGAAATCCCATAGCACCGACCTTGCCCCTTGGACCACACAGGAGACTATGTAAAGGTGCCATGTCCCCACCTCAGTCCACTGGTGGGGTGTCTGCCGTTGTCATTCTCACCTGGGACAGGTGAGGAGACTGAGGCTTGGTTGGGTTCTGCCCCCCTCCCAGAGCCACCAGGGTGATGGGCTGCACCTTACCCCACTCAGCCTGGAGCCCAGTCAGAGCCGTGGCCTGTGCCTCTCCTCCCTTTTGCTCTGACAGGGAAGGTAGCAGAACCCATGAGAATCTTCCCCTTACACTTTCTTCAACACCACCCGCTGAGCACCTCATGCCAGGTGGACCGAAAGCAAAGCTGAAGATTGAGAAATGGCCCCATTGTGTGCTGGGCTGGGTCCCAACACTGCAGGGTAGTGAAGAACTAGCGCCGGCGCACCTGTGGGATGGTTGTGGGTCATCCGGCCGCACTCGATGCTGACCTCCACCAGGGTCTCCAGCCGCTCTGGCTTCCAGTACCGCATGCCAATGCACATGGCTTTGGTGGCCGCTCCGAACCCCGAGCCTACGTGGGAGCACCCAGATTCAGACTGCACTCCAAGGGCCCCGCCCCTGGCAATCAGTACTCTCAAGTAACTTCTAAAGCGCAAAAGCGTAAGTGATAACACATTCATCAGAAGCTCATTTAAATGAGTTGACATCACCCACCTGTCACATGGAAGAGAGGTGAAATACAACAGGCTCCACCCTATGTCAAAGGTATTATAGCTACTAAAACAGACTTTTGGTGGGCTGGGACAGGCTCAAAATGGGCCCCTCCTCGGGAAGACAGAGAGGGGGTTGTACCCAGTGCTTGCTCTCAACAGATTGACCTTTTCTCTTTAAAGACAGCTTCTCTGAGTTCCAGCTGGCAGCAGTGAAAGGCACAGGCCGTGTGTGTAGCCTGAAACTGGCACAGAGAACACGCGTGCCCCATTCTTGGACCACAGGCCCATGAGCGGGTCTGACAGAAAGGCTCTTGTTCCCCTGGCTTCTGTCAGTCAGCCTAACGCCTGGAGATGCGTCCCGTGCTTGTACCCAGGTTGCCTTCCCGCTGCTGGACAGGGTGGACACAGCACGGCTGGCCACCCACTCACCTCTGGCAGGCGGTTGGTGTTCCAGCACAGAGCTGCTGCCCATAGAGGGGCCAGACCTGTGCTTTCTTCTCTCTGGATGCCTGCTCAGGAGCATCTGGGTTGTGGGGTGATCTGAGCATCTAGATTGTGGGGTGATGCATGTGCGACTCTTTGAAGAACTGCCCCCTTGTCCCCAAAGTGCCTGGGCCACTTTTGGCCCATCAGCAACTGCTCCCCATCTTCCTGGCTGTGCCAGGCATCGTTTTCTCTTCAGCCCCTCTGATGGGGATGTGGCTGCTCCTTGCTGTGCTTCATTTCCATTTTCCTAACGACCACTGCAGCTGAGTGGCTTCTGCCGACCTGCGTCGTCTTTGGCGAAGTGTCCGAGCCTCCTGCCCACTGTGGGTGGGTGGCCTGTGGTCTGGCTGAATAGACCCAATTTTCCCCTCCCCCTCTGTCCTCTCTGGAGTCTCTGAGGCAGAACACTGAGGCACAGCAGAGAGGCTAAACAAACTTCCATCCTGTGTCAGAAGCTAAAACCAGGCTTAACACAGGCTCCCGCTCTCTGGAGGAGCTGTGCACACAGCTGTGGTCTTTCCCACGACTGTTTGGTAGGACCCCCATGCAATCTTCTCTGTGGTCTCTGTAAGACATGAGCTGTCTGGGTCTCCTCCTTCTTCACAAGGGAGCTTTGGTGGTTTGTGTCCATTCCGTCTGTACTCTTAGACTTATCGGCATGAAACTGGTAATAACGTCCCCTCTTTTCCTCCCATTTTTGCAGGCTGCAGTGGCCTTGCCTTCACGTTTGCCATCCTCTTTTTCTTCTGTTTAGCTAGAGGAATATCAGTTCTTTCTTCAGTATTAGGGACTGAGCTCAGGTCTTTTCACTGACCTACACTTGCAGCCTGCTTTTATTTTCTTATTTTGAGACAGGGTCTTATTACCTTGCCCAGGCTGGCCTCCTGCCTTAGCCTTCTGAGTAGCTGGGAAAGACAGGTGAGCTCAACTTGCACAGCTGGGGATTATCTGTTTTTGAACTTCTTAAAGAAGCAGCTTCTGGGTTCACTGGTTTTCCCTTTTACCGTTGGTCTCCATTCTCTCGTCTTCTTCCTTTGAGTTTAATTTGCTCTTAAATTTCTAGTTTCTTAAAGTGAAGATGTTAATGTTGAACCTCTGCCTGTACTTGTGGATTTGCCTATTTCTCTGCAGCAGTATGAGTTTGCTTCAAAGGTTCGAAGGTCGATGTTATATGTCCCAGTAGACAGCATGATGACCTACCCCGTATCACAGGGACACCACCTTCTTATTCCTGGGAATTTTCTTTGCTCCAAAATTTACTGGGAATGTAGGTATAGTGACTCTGGCTTGCTTTTGTTGCTTGGGAGTGGAACTGGGGCCTTTGCTTGCTAGGTCTATGTCTCACCTGAGCTATCCCTGGCCTGTGATTTTCTTGGATGGCACTGGAATTGTACACCCTTCCCATCTTTCTGCTGTCCCCCTATCAGGGAGCACTTCCTTGTAGCAGCACACACTGGGGACTTGTTTCATGGCCCAGCCTATGGGCCATTATTTGGAGTCTTCAAACCCTTTCCATTTGATGCCACTTTAATATGGCTGGGTTCACTATGAACTCTCTCCACGTGCTGTTTTTGTGAACACAGCAGGGTGGGGCCAGGCACACTGGTTGGTTCTGCTTTCTTCCCCACTCTGCCACAGAGGGTTTTCGGTGTCTCAGCACACAGACTCCTTCATCATTCCAGCAGCAGCTGAGAACTGCGTCGTGCAGTGCAGTATGATCAGCCTCCCACTCCACAGGGCACCGTGAGCTCTGTCCCGGAGCTGCTGACACACATGAAGCAAAGTGCATCCTTGGACACTTGCCTCTGCTCATCGCTTCAGAGCATCGTCCTCATGGGTCCTGAGACTCCTGCTGAGGAGAGCAGGGGGCGTTCTGGTCCGTGATCCTGACTGACGATACCAGCTTCTTTTCTCAGGAGGCTGTCCCTTCCACCAGCCCCCAGGCAGCTCGTGTGCTCCTGATGTCTGCAGGCCATCAGGTCGGTTGCCGGTCTACACCTGCCCGGGCCACCCCTCCCACTCACCCAGGACTTTCCCTCTACCCACCTGGCTGCCAGCACTGTGGGCCTGACCTACCTGTGTCTCTGCCCCTCCTGTGAGCCCCTCCTCTCAGGCACAGCCCTGGCTGAGGCTGTCCTGAGAGTGGGTCTCCAGGAGCACTGACTTCTGTGGCCCTGGCTGCACCTGCCAGCCCCACTCACCCTAAGGAGGCATAGAATGGGGCCAGCTGCCTCCATGTACCACCCAGAACAGCTCCATATAGAAACCATTCCCGAAAGTGAACCAGGAATAAAGAACAAAGCCCATGGAGGAAGCTGGGTACCACAGGGACAGATGCCCAGCTCGGGATGGGAAAAGCTCCTGACCCTTTTCACTGAAGGGCGTGTGCCAGGCCAGCAGGTAGTTATCTGGCTTCAGCTGTGAGCAGCCCTCCACAGTGGCGGGGTCAGGTCGGCGCTCTGGAAGCTTCTCGACAGTTTCCACGTAGCACCTCACCATCTCACGGTATAGGTCGTCCAGGCACCAGTAGTCTGGGGAGGAGAAGAAGGGGACAGACATCAGCACTGACAGCAGCTCTGGTCTGTGGCACAAATCACCCATATCTCTCGGGCAGTGGAGACAGAGGCCACCCAGAGGCACAGCCCTGGCTGACAACTTGCTTTAGACCTCATTGGATGCCAGACAGGAAAGGTAGATGCCCGCCTGTCCTGTCCCACATGATAATCTGGGGACTGATGGCCCTGTCATCTGTCACTGTGCTGAGCCTCAGCTGCCCTGGCTTGGGTGGGATGGACGTTGGGCCTTGCCTGTCTCCAGCTCCCAATTCTGCTGGCTTCAAGGAAGCCGGGGGCCCTGCAGTATTGCTCTGTCCAAGCTGTTTCCCTGGCCCACAAGGCACAATCTGGGGACAAGTATAGCACTACCCACCCAGGATCACAGGTATGGGGGACAAGGAGTCAGCTCACAGGGAAAGCTGTCTGTGGTCCACATCATCCCTGGACAGTGGCGTTGTAGGACGCCAAATATGAGGCTGTCAGATTGGGCCCTAATTTGTCATGTTTTCTCAGAAAGGCTCGGGAGGCAATGTCTTCCTGCAGTAAGAGCTCTCTGGCTGGAACACTGGTTCACAGCATGGTGGACAGCACATGTCACTGACACTGGAGCCCATGGGCCTGGCTACCCTAAGAATAGTTGTGCAGGAGGGAGCTTGGGGCTCCAGAGGGGGGAGGGGTGCTGTTCACAGTCCTTGTGACAGCTAGCAGCATGACTTCACTCACAGACAAAGTGCCACTCAGGGAGTCCAGTGCGCTCGTGGGAGGTAGCCTCAGCCTTTGTTTTTTTGCAATGCCTGCCCTTTCTGGGGGTGTGGGGGTAGGAATGGAGGAGGGTAGAGATGATGAGGGCAGAAGTCACCACCTCAGGGAAAGGTGCAGACTGAAAGCCCATGTCAAGGCTTCAGAGCCAGAGCTCCAGGGACAGGGGGACAGCGCCCCGGAGGGAGGGGCAGAGCAGACAATCTCCACAGGGTGTGAGGGCACAGCCGGGAGCCAAGAGGAAGATCAGCCTGGCCCAGCAGGCCGAGCCCTGTGGACAGTGGGGAGCCTTGGGTGTGGCTCCACAGTCCCCTTGATCTCACCAGTTCTGGGGGGCAGGAGAGGGATGCTGAGGGCCTGGGGGGCAGAGTGAGTATGTACCCCAGGGCAACAGGGGCAACTCCTCCGCACAGGAGCCGGGTAGAGGTGAGGCCTGGGGCTATCCAGGGTGCCTGCAAGCCCAGCTTGTGCAGCTCTCCTTGCCACTGGGGTCAGTTTACAAAAGGCCTTCCTCCCTCCACTTGGTCTGCCCACCTGCCCCTCCAAGCCCTTAGAAGAATTACTTTTATTCTGGAACCAGACACCGGGAAATCCCAGTATGTAACTAAGTCTGAACTTTCTAAAGCAATAGACAAACAAACAAAGTCCATAAACACAGTGGCATCAAGCGCCTTGACTTTTCAGATTAAATTCTGACTAGAAGCATGTTCTCCAGCTGCAGAGTCCTGGGGCTGCTCTGTGTGGCAGGGCAGCTGTTCCACTCCATGACTTCCTTCCCCACAGCTGGCCTAAGGCACCCGTCAGCTATAGTCCTGACAGAAAAGCTTAACACCAGGCGTAGCTTCCCTGGAGTGAGGCAAAAGGGCCCCACATTTCCCTCTGCTCTGACTTGGTGATGGAAATCAAACAGGCAGGGTGGCCAGGAACATGATAAGCTCCAATGCTCTGGGACCCTGAAGGCCAAGGACACTCAGGGACAGGAATGGACCATCACTCCACCCTTACATGGCCTGTCCCCAGCAACAGCACACAGCTGCCACACTCCACAAAGGTAAGACCAGTCAAACTTTCACTTGTGCCGCCTTGAAGCTAGGAGGTCACAGGACACTGTCCTATTCCTCCCCAGCACTCTCATTCTTCCTTGGGCAGTCCTGGGGATGACAGCGCTGTCCTGATTCTCCTCGGTGCTCCCCATTCCCTGGAGTCCTCCCGCCCCAAGATAACCATAGGATGCAGACAGGACAGGCCGGCAAGCTGCAGCCCTGCAGTTTGTCTATGATCGTAAACGTGGTTCCAAGACCCCTGTAATGTGCTACAATTTGTTATTAAAAAAAAAAAAATAGAGCTGTGTTACAACTAAATTGAGATGAAATTTTACTTTGAAATTTAGAGAGTTGAAAAACATATGCTTGGTTTAATTTCTTAAGAAGTCATCGATGAAGGGACATACCTGGCCCTGTTTTTCATGACCCACTACTGAGAGGCTAAGGCAGGGCCCATCACTCGCTGACCATCTGCCTTCATCCTGGCCACTGTCACCACTGGCAGTAAGCCCATTTCCTCCCTGAAAATGAAGCTTGAGGTTCTCCCCACTTGACTGTCCTGCGTCTCCTCACCAGCCTGCCCCCACCTGTGCCAGTGCTTCCCAGGGTGACCACACGGCCAGACCCAGAACAGCTGCCTAACCACCCTGACTACCACAGATGGGCACATGAAGGGACCTATGTGTGGCTCTGCGATGTGTGCATGAGACATCAGACCGAAACAGGCTTCAAGAGCAAGTGCCGATGGTATAGTGAATGCGAAGCAGCTTTGTACCAAAGACGTGCCTGCCAGCCTGGTTTAGCTGGGAGGTAGGGCATGGCTTTGAGCTCCAGATACTACTTTAATACCGCTGTCCACAAAGGTGCAGAAGTCTGCATGAAAATATCAGGTGCCTCACCACTTCAACAGCCGTGACACTTTATCTCATCATCGGCGGCGGCACTCTCCCTAGTTATTTTGGGACCAGTCAAGGGCATTCCTACACAATGACCACAAAAGCAGGAAATATTTGGATTTCGTAAGTGTGTGCTTCATCACTTTAACAAGATGTGACACCTTATCTTATCGACATGATTCAGTGCCCTCCACAGTTATTTAGGGATCAGTGGAGAGCATTCCTACACAATGACCACAGAGCTAAAATGAGCCCGTTCACGGCAGACAAGCGGAATGGCGAAGTGAATGTAGGTGAAACCCCATTGACTTAATAGCTGCCGTCACGTCTTCATTTTGCTGGGCACATGGTGCGCAGGAAAACTGTGTGATGTGTGCATGAGCCAACTGTTTCCCTGAAACTTGTGTGAACCCTTATTGGTCCTGAAATCAATCTGCTCCTTACAGAATAGTTTAAGAAATTATTCCCACATCCAACCTTGTAGCACTTTCTTAGAACATATCTGTGTATAAGTAGTGTCCAGGCTGAGTCATTCTGGCAGATATTTTGACCTATATTTGTGGGGAATCATGATTATTTTGCCATTGTTTCTTTAAAGGCCACATTGCAGCTGAATGATGAATCTATAGCAGAACTTTAACTTTCCTCCTTGTAAGCTATGCACAAAAAAGCAGACATAACTACTTCATTCAAATTCCCTTGCGAGTACAAATACATATTCTGAGCTCCGACCACTGACACCAGTCCATCTTTATACATCTGTCAATTACTTCTACCCAGAAGTGCTGTTTCTAACAATGCCAAGGGCACTGGACTCTGCAGAACAAAACAGTCTTCCAACAATGCCTGCTGTGCTCACCCCCGAGACAGAGGGACAAGTGTGACCTGATGCCCGTGCTCCTGAGATGATATTTCCAGACCCCTCCTCATGTCAAAGTCAAACATAAAAATCTCAACTTTCTGCTGGCCCTCTCTCGGCCTCCCGTGGTGCTCTTGAGGTGTCTCAGTGAACACTGAACTTTTCTCTATTCCTGGACTAATGGTAGCCTTTCACACCCGTGGCAGCGGCCCATCACATGCTGCAGCCTACACAGCGTAGTTTGCTGGAATGTGACGCAGTGCCCAAACAAAATCATCTTAATGACTTCAACTTTCAGATTGGCTCACATTTTATGTTCTTCTGAAATAAACTCAGGGCTAGTAGCTCAGCCCCATAGTGGCCAGTCCCCTACAAACAGCTATGCAAGAAGCTGCCTGCTCCGGCTGGTGGCTCCCTATTTGGTGCTTTACACTGGACATTGTGTGGGGAAGCCACAACAGCAACTTCACAACCACAGGACCCTGAGCTTAAGAGACTGAGAAACCCCTGCCTGTTCCGATAGTCAGTTACAACTTTCACAACTACAAGGTTGGGGTGAGGCAGAGTGCAAACTCTGAAATAAGGACAGCCAGGCAGCCGCTTTCCCCTCCCACTGCACCCGGATTAAGAGGTAACACCTGATGAGAACTTCAGGGTGCCACACCATAGTGAGATGGCTGTAAGTGACGTAGTTAGCCCTGGTGAGTCACAGCATAGGTTTGGTTCACATTCCCCAAGGGCCGGCTGCTGCTTATAAGGTGAATCTTATTATCTACAAAGAAAGTAATATCACCCCTCAAAAAGCCACTGCAGAAGAAATGTGACCTGCTGCCTGCCTGATTTGCTGAGGGACACTGGATATACTAAGTTGCCACTTTCAGCAGTGGCATCAGGTAACACGCAGCTCACAGATGGTGCTTCCAAGCTATATGCTCACTGTGAGCCTGAGCAGCCATGCACCCCCACACCCCAGCACAGTCAGCAAGGCAGCAGGGAGCCCAACCTGTGGTGAGGGCCTCAGCAGTCACCATGTGCATGATGGTGTTGTCACTCACTGGCCACTTCCCTGGAGATAGCACAAGGTGGTCCAGCCCCCCAACCTTCTGCAGCTCCTCCTGGATGGAGCCCGAAGCACTGTTCTCCCTGCAGACGTTCCCGAAGCCGAGTGCATCGCCCACACTCCCCAGCAGCATGGCAGCCTTGAACTTCTCCATCTCAGGAGGCGGCTCCTCTGGCTCCAGAGTGCTTTGTCCTCCCCAGGCCGCCCTCAGCCCTCCCTGCTGACATTTATACTGGTTATTGTACCACTGTCCAGCGTCCTGTAAGTGGCCAGGCGCTCCTTTCTTGTCTCTGCAGGTGGCACCAATAAGAGGCTCTGACCGCACCACGTGGGCAGCTGCTAGGCGCCAGCTCCATTGGCTCTCGTCACCGTCACTTCAAAGGCTGAGGCTCAGGCCTCGTGGCCCCTGCAGGGCACTCATGGGCGGGGCTGAGTGGTGCAGGTGGAAACCTGAGCAGCTCACAGGCTCATCCACCCTGGAGGTGCCCTCTGCCTGTTTGCTGTACCCCTGTCCTGGGACACCTTGCTATTGTTGCTACTGTTTTGCCTTTTCTAGAGTTTCAAATAAATGCACCATACTACCTGCTATGTACTGAAGTTTTCCAGAAATCCAGTATTTGCCTTTTTTTGTCAGCTTCTTCAGGAAAATCTCTCCTCAGATTATAAAATGTGACAGCTTTAAAGGTGCAGAGTGGAGAGGTGCTCTCCACTCCTCAGGAAGAGTTCTGACATCTCATTTGGTGCTCTGCCCTGGACCTTGTGTGGGGAAGCCACAACAGCAGCTTCACAACCACAGGACCCTGAGCTTAAGAGACTGAGAAACCCCTGCCCGCTCCAACAGTTAGAACTACAACTTTCACAACTACAAGGCTGGGGTGAGGCAGAATGTGAACTCTGAAATGAGGACAGGCAGACACCAGGCAGCCGCTTTCCCCTCCCACTGCCCTGGAACCCGATTAAGAGGTAACACCTGATAAGAACTTCAGGGTGCCACACCCTAGTGAGATGGCCTTAAGTGACACAGTTTGCCACCAGCACTGGTTATGTCGAGGTTCCAGTGTTTCACTAGCCAGCTCAACTCAGACACTAAAACTGTCCCTCAAAGTGAGATGGTATGCAGGCTCCCCATATCAAGATGGACGGACGGACAGGGGAAGCCAGCAGAGCTGCCAGCCAGGAGGCTGCAGAAAGCTTCCTCAAGGATGCCTGGGAACAGTTCCCACTCTTTGGCCTACACCCCAAATACTGGTAAGATGAACTCATTAATCTATCCATTTAGTACTTATGGTCCCCATACCGTACTGGGAATGGTGGCTATGGCAACAAAACCAGAAGCTTACTCTCGCCCGTTGGAGCCTGAAGCCTGAATTAGTTATACTGAGTCAACCTAGCACAACAGGAACTGGAATCACTGAGGATGGTGACATCCACTCCAGACCCTCTGGCCTGTCCTCAGTGAGGAGCAGGTGATGATGGAGGGTGACGTGCAGGATGCCTTGGCTGGCTAGTGCATCCAGGTGTGATCCCTCCTCACTGGGATCCACCACGCTCAGCGGGCACTGTGATGGCCACTGAAGCTGTCTCCAGGGCCAGGATCATTTAACAGGTGGCAGGTCAGACATGTGCGCAAGGGGCTTGCTTTCTGGTTGCCACAAAGGGGGCTTTCTACTGGCCCAGGACAAAGAACTGTGCAACTGAGAACAGACAAGTCGACACCACAGCACCACTGAATATAATTTATTCTGGTGTTCCTGAAGTTCTTACCATTTTCATAGCATGCACAACTCTAAATAGGAAAAGTACAATTTTTTGAAGAGCCTTTTTCCAATTAATAATTTGGTAGCTACTGACAGCCCCACAAAACTTTAAATCTCAAAAAGTACGGCAGACTCCCATAATTTTTAGTTATTTTAATGCTATAAACTTCTCTGAACAGAATGATTACATGTAAAGAATTTGCAAAGCCCAGGATGCTTCAGTTTCTTAGGTTTTTATTACACAAAATAAATACTGAGTCAGTGTGGAAGGAGGAGACACCCAGATTTCCCTTTTACAGACTCAGCCAAATACCTGAGGAAGGTCACACAGCTCCTCACTTTTGTCACTGGCTGGACCATCTTGCAGAGGGCTGCACATGCAGTGGAGGCGGTTCCCCAGCCCTGCACCCCCTGCTGGCCTCGAAGGACTGCGCTATTTAGAAGCGCTGACTGCTCATCCTGTGGCAGGACACAGTATCCCTGGGCTGCGAAGGGCTGCTTCCAGGTAAGGGACACGCTGTCCTGGAGCAAGCTCAACCTACCTGCTGCACGGCGCCACGGGCGGGTGGCAAGGCACACTTGTGATGCAAAGTCTTTGCGAAGGTGAGGCAGGGTCAGCACAGTGCCACCCAAAGTGCGACACCAGGAGAGCAGGCAGCAACAGGTCCTCTCTGCCCGTGTGCCCGAGCGGAGGGCGACCAGCCTGACAGTGGGCAGCAATGCTCACACGAGCCAGGACAGCCTCCGAGACAGGGAGTAGCACTGCTCTGCACAGCAGCATGCTGCCCTTGCCTCCCTGCGGGGCTGGCCTCTGGGCGCTGTGGGTGTCACAGCAAGGGCAAGGGAGCCAGTGTACTTCTTAACCTGTAATTCATCACTCAAAAAGAAATATTTTCCATGGAAAAATGTCTTTTTAAATGTAATAAAATATATTAAAAATATGAAACTTCTCAGGGAGTTCAAATAACATTATTAGAAGTAAAATAGGCCCACTGGCCTGTAAACAGCTTAAAATAAAACTCTGCTGGAATCACACCTGACATGTCACTGCTGTGCAAACTAACAGCGTCTCAAAAGTGCAAAATGATTTTCAGATAAACATCTAGAGAAAATGAAAACAAAAATAGATCTGGTTAAGTTTAGATATCTGATAATTCAAAAATATAAATCTTGAATTTCTGGCACCAGGATTAGAAAACATCAGACTCTAGCAAGGTCATCTCCAGTAGGGTACATTTGTTTTGTTTTGTTTTGTTTTTGTCTTTTTGAGACAGGGTCTTGCTATGCAGTTTGGACTCAATTTGAACTTACTTTGTAGCCCAGGCTGGCCTCGAGCTCACAGCAATCCTCATGCCTCAGCCTCCCGAGTGCTGGGATTACAGGTGTGCACCACCACACCCAGCTAGGGCACATTTTTAACAGCTCTGACTTGTATAGAAAAACACCACTCTACCCAAAACACACACACTGCGCTTTATGTGTAATTCCGGTAACCCAGCAGTTTGTAACTGCCGGTGTTCTCCTAAGTCACAGGTTGAACAGCAGGCTCTGCAGTCCTGCGAACAGTACTGGTTATTCTGTGTGAATTTAGGTCACGGGCAGCCTCCCAAAGCAGCAACAGTGACGACGTATCTCCACGGGCCCCAGCAGCTGTCCTACAAGGTGCTTCTCCTGGAGTGGCACCATGGCCACTGTGGCCTTGAAGCAGAGTACAGGCTCCAGCCCACGACCAGCAAGGTGGCTGCGGGAGCAGCGACAGACACAGCAACTGACCCACACATCTCTCTACAGGATGCACGTCTTCTTCCTCCTAGAAGGGGCGGCGTTTTCCACCTGAGACTACTGGCCGTGCATACTCCACAAAGTCATCTATGAGGACAGGCCAGGCTCCTAAAGGGGGAGCAAACACAAAGACCTTTAAAATCGGTGCCATGGCAATTTCTTATTGTCAGGGTTGGAGCGTGAGCCCAGGGCTGTGTTTTTACTGGCAAGTACAAACCATCTCAGCCAGTGCTACAGCCATTTCTTATATTCAAAGCATTTTCTTCAAAATCTAACATTTGTATTTCAAGAATTCAAATGATTTGAAATTCACAGAGCTCATGCTTCACCCAGGCATCCAGGGTCAGCATTTTTCTCCAGGCAGCCAGGGTCAGCAAGTGGCAGGTGGGACATGCCTGGTGAGGATAACATACACCCTCAGTGACCAGGCATTCTGTGACCATGAGGTCCCCAGCCAGCTCCAGGCAGTCAGGAAGCGCTATCTTGGAGTGCAGAGAAATGGGCCCACCTGCTCTAGGGTGGAAAGAGCCATTTCTCTGGAGTCATGGGGTGTCCCTGCCACCAGGAGCACTGCCTCCCTGCCTAGTCTCCCACAAGGACCCCTTCCAAAGGTGGGGGCCCTTTGGGCCCTGCAGCTCCTGGTCATACAACACAGCCTGCCTCAGGCTATCTTTCTGCAGAGGGCCTCACCTCACTAGCTACAGCTCACGCTCCTGGAAGCTGGGCAGGCTACATTAACAGACTCTATTCGCAAGCATCAGTAGGTGTTACGAGGTAAGTGTTGAGGACACAAAGACAGGGGCTGAGCTAGTGAGGAAGAGAATGCAGCTGGTGCAAAATGAAAGGGCAAGGCTGCGGGACGAGGTGCGGAGAGGCTGCCCCAGCAAGTCCTGGGGAGGACACTGCTGCATGGAAAGGGCGCCTTGCAGGGCGCAGTACACCTTCCAGGGTGCAGCACCCTCGACTGCCCAGGACCTGGGTGTGGTGCTCCGAAGCACTGAGGGCACAGTATGTGTAGCCACGTGTAGGGAAATGGGCAGAAGTTGGCACTTTTCCATCAGCCTCAACAGCACGTGTCTTGTGTGATCTGTAAGAACAAACATGCAAGTGGGCATGCTGTGTCCCCCTCACACTGGAGGGCAGGGTGAGCCACTTCTCTGGGAAGGCCTCAGGCTCCAGTACCTTCTTCATCATAGTTGGACATGTCATCGTCAATCATGTTTCCAAAATCTAGCAGAAGGTTCCAAGTATCCCTTGGAATTGATCTTTTGTGATGTTCCTAATGTTCAAGAAAAAAACAATCCACCAGATTAAGGATTCAGGGCTTACTCACAGAACCCTAGTGGCCGCGTGGCCTTCGTCAGAGTGAGCCTCCTTCATCTGCGGAGGAACAAGGACAGTAATGAAGCCCTCACAAGCAGTAATGGTACTCTGCATGAACAGCAAGTGCTCCAGCAGGGCCAGGCCCAGACACCCAAGAGATGTATTGGAGAAGAAAGTGAGACCTGTTAGACACCATAATTACACACTGTTTCACTCAGACTTAAGAACAGCAGCACTTATGAATTTTCTTTCTTCGAGAGGGTGTTTTGAATTGAGTACAAAGCCTTGTGCACCCTAGGCAAGCACTCTGCCACTAAGCTCCATCCCCAGCTGACATGCTTGATTTTCTTTTGTTGGTACCAGGAATTGAACTCAGGGCTTTGTGCTTGCTAGGTAGGTGCTGTGCTGCTGAGCTAGACCCCTGGCCCAACATGCTCACTCTTCTATGCACTCGGCAGCTCCTGCGGTGAGGTGGGGTGATTTTGGAGACGCGTGTTACACTGTGCCCCACAGGCAAGGTGCTACAGGTGCTCTTCGTGGCCGACTTCTCCCTTCTGCTGGCCTCAGCCTCGTCAGGTCTACCCTGTACCTTCATAGGTGCACAAAGTCAGAAGCAGCTTAAAAGCTTGTTTTGTGTTTTATTTTATGTTATTTTTTGAGGCAGGGTCTCCCTAGGTAGTTCAGGCTGGCCTCAAACTCATGGTGATCCTCCTGCCTTAGCCTCCCAAGTGCTGGGATTATAGGCATTTACCACCACACCTGGCTAAAGCTTGTTTTGCACTTTTAAATATTAACTGCTACAAAATGATGTAAGCAGTTGCCCACAAGTAGTTTCTTCTCCACGCACCCAGCATAAAGCGTCCAGACAACAGGTAAATCTAGCTCTACGCACTCTCTCTGCTCTGTTGCTGTGTGCTCCTGTACTGATATCCTACTCTTCCTCACCCTCTCTTGTGGATATACACTGGATGTTCCAGTGTTTTGCTGTGCCCACAGTGCATCTTTGTGCACCCAGGCATGAGCTCCCTGGGGGAGGCCAGCTTTGGCATTGCCCCAGGGAAGTAAGGGGTCTCTGGCACACTTACTAACCTTGGACCACTTTAGAAGTGATAGAGCACCTGACATAGAGCAGCACAGCTGACATGAAGCTTCCCCAAGGTCTGCAGGACTTTACAATGCCGTTCCAGACAGCACTCGCTTCCACTTGATGAAGTGGGCACAGAGAGAAGCAACTTGCCCATGAACACAGAGCTTACAGGTGGCTCCGTGCCACAAATGAGTAGACAAGAGTGCTCCTTGTTTGGCTGTGGGCGGTGCTGCATGACAGATGGCCACTTTTCACCCGTGACAGCATGGGGGTCTGAGTGTCCCTGCTACCTCCAGATGGTTGCTACTGACTCAGGACACACCCTTGTGCCCTTTTCACTCTAAACACCCTGCACCTGTACTTAGTGCCCAGCTTCCACCAAGACGGCCCAGCTTCCAGCCTGCATCTTTGCCAATGGCCTGCTTTCCCTCTACAGTGACACCCAACTGCAGACACACACAGAAGCTTGGCACCCACAGCTCTGGTGCCAACCTGTAGTAAGCATGGTCCTGGCACCTTCTTTAAGCACCTTAAATTTCTTGGTGGACACAGACAGTAATTTAGCATAGGGTCCTTAGAGAGACGGTGAGCGGAGAGCTGCAGGGGCTTGACGCCCATCTTGCAGAAACTTCAGGGCAAATTGAGTTCCAAGCAGCTGCCAGGGGACCCCAAGGCTCAGCAGCTGCCATGCCCTGTGAGGCGAAAGGCTATGCAGCATCTTGCTCAATACCTGAGGACCTCTGTGTGGGACTCGATTTACCCAATCACGTGTAGCTTTGAAGCTGCTGGTTTCCCTTCCAACTGGGTGCACACTACAAGGAGTGGATACTTACCAGCAAGAACGTGTTCCAAAGATCTAAAAATTTAAACCTTCCAGACAATACTAATTTCCAATAGGCAACCGCCATTTCCAAATCTAGCAAAAAAAGAGAAAAAGTAATTAATAAATTCCAATTTCTTTTTCCACTGTACAAAACTTATATTCACTTGGATGGATAATATTTAGTAATCTTTCCAGATATATGAGGCCTAATCTCTACACAAGTGTTCCCGAAAACTGTACGGAATCTAATTTTATAAATCTGAGGAAATTTACTGAAAAGGGGTTTGTATATTAAGTTATCTGGACATGCAAGTAGTAATTTCCCAATTAGTTTTGGTGACCTGTATTTCATGTGTCAGGCTTTGACTCAACATATCATTTATTTTAAAAAATAGGTCACTGCCCTTTCCAAGTGGCGAGCTACCAATTAAACAACTTGCTCAGAAAGGAAGGGACTCACTGCTCAACTGATCCAGCTCCTTGCTATACCAATGAACCCCAAGTCTAATATTTTAGAATTATCTGGTTCACAAGCAAATCGAGGGGCACTCTAAGGACTTTGCATTTCCCACCACACAGTCAAGACATACAGCACTGATAGGAAAAGTGTTTTCATGAGAGGATATTTAAAAATCTAGGCTGCTTATCAACCAAAGCCATTGCCTTCATTTTCTCCTGACTGGAAGCAGAGACAACTCTAGCCTGGAAGACTCACTTCTAAAGGTGTCTAAGGGACAATGGATGCTGAGCTTGCTGGCTGCATCAGATGAGGATCTCTAATTCACAGTGCTCTGAGTCTTGATTTATTCTCTGCTCACTGGCAATGGATAAGTACTCCTGTTTGCACATGTGCCATAACAGGGACATAAAGGGCCAGAGAAGCTTATTTCTTAAAACTGGCTATCTTTAATCACATTGAATATTCAGTGTTCCTCACTGTGGGCGATAAAGGGAGAATTATGTTGAAATAATTTCCTAATTTTTATGTAAGTATATCAGATAAACTAATGTGAAAAGCAGATTAATAAACTTATTAAGGTAACAGGCTGGTTTCAATGTAAAATATCCAACTGAACACTTTTCAGTGGATTTTCTTCTAAATCTGGTTTAGTTCCATTTGGACAGAAATGACTCAAGGTGGAGGTCTCACTTGAGATTTCCAGGGTTGATCATCAATGCTACAGAAGCAAGAGATGAAAGAGCAGCAGCAGACTTCAAATGAGATGCCTACTCCTGTATGTTCCTAGGTGGGCTCCTTACAACCCACTTGGGCTTCAGCACCCAGGAGTTTCGATCAGAAAGACACGCAGAGACAAAAGTTCCAAGCAAGGGCTGCGTGAAGGAGCTCTCTAAGCCTTACCTATGGGCCCCGCAGTGTAAGGCTAAGGTGATTAGTCTTGTCCTGATTACAAGTCTACATCCTTATCACTTAGGAAGAACAGTAATTGAAATCTATATTCAACTCATCTTAATGATGTGAATCGCTCACATTGGGAAATGGAGGTGAACCTGGGAAGGAAAGAAAAATAAAGTTTTATGGAATACATTTAAAATCTAGTTACTTTTGGGTTAGTTTCGGTCCTAGCAACCTTTTCTTTTACCTTTTTTTAAAAAAAATATAAAGAACCTGATTTTGGATGTAGGTAAATCACATGACTGAAAGGTATATGCATGAATTTCCAATATTTAATATTATCTATGTAAAAATGTCACATTGTCCCAATGGACTAATGGACTTTAGTCTTTTGCAAAATAACAATGACAACAAAACCTCAAAGTGGCAGTGCTTGAGACTGAAATCGGGGCAGTGGAGACGCCAGTGCTTCATGTTTTGGCAGCAAAGTTCTCCCTCAGAACCTCTAGGAAGTCCCATCTCTTTTTTTTTTTTTTTTTTTTTTTTGGTTTTTCTCCGGTACCGGGAACCGAACCCACGACCTTGCGCTTGCCAGGCAGGCGCTTTGCCGCTGAGCTAAATCCCCAGCCCCTGGAAGTCCCATCTCTTGATTAAGATCCTATCACAAGGAGGAATTACTGTTTACACCCCTACACCTCAGGTGTCTAGGGACCTACAAAATTCATAGCAACTCATTTAGGGTTAAGATATGCTGTCAGAAAAGGAGCTTAGGACAAACATAAAAATTAGCTAATTCTTTACTTCTCTGAAACTCAAGATTCAAAGATTCTCCACGCCAAATGATTCTAGACCCAGCCAGCCGGAGCCCTCGTGAGTCAGCTGCAGACGTGGCCCCAAGGTAAAGTGCTGCTGTGGCAGAGCCCTGGTTCAGTCCCCAGCACAGCAAAGACTCTGGTACCTCCAGTTAACCCCTTGACTAGGGCGACTATTAGTTAAGTACAGGGTAAAGAATATTCACACATTAAAATAACACAGGGTGGGTGGCACCTATGGTCCTAGACTTGGGAGGCTGAGGCAGGAAGAACTCTGGAGTCCCAGTCTGGTCAGCACAAGACCCTGTCTCAATCACAACATCACAGTACCCAGAATCCTGACATGTACACAGACAAGCACACACAAGAGAAGACTAGGACACGGTTCTCTCATTGCCACCTCCCACTGCTGCCTGCAGCTCTTCTAAGAGCTGAGGGGACACAAACACTCATCTCTTCTGTTAAGGCTCCAACTGGACCTAAGTCTCTCTGCTCCTAACCTGCTTGCCAGCAGAGGCATTGTTCCCAGAAGGAAACTCAGTTCAGCACAAGGGCTGTCATCGGCAAGCACGGGACACAGGATATTGTAAAAGAGCTAAGATAGGACAATGAATTTTGTAGGTCCCTAGACACCTGGAACCACCTGGAAATTTACATGCTTCAAGGACCCTGCCCTCTGAGATGCAAGATTGCTAGAGAATCTGGACCACAGATGTTTATTAAAATCTTCCCGCCTAAGGTCCTTTCCTTCTTTCAATCCCTGTAAAAGGGGCCCACTTCTCTTTGTTGCCTGCAGTCTGCCTTTTCACCCTGTCTGCCTGCACCCAGGCACAATAAACTCCACGCTATGTTGCCGTTACATGAGCCTGGTGTCTTGGCTGGTCTCTGCCTCTCAAGTCCCTTACATCTCCACACGCACTAACTCTTCATGAGACGGACCATACAGTGACACACTTGGAAAGGGTGAGCCTTTAGGAGGCAGTCATAAGATGTCTCTATCCGTTATTTCTCTTTTAAGAAAGCCCTCATAAAAATTTTTAAAACAATGTGCGCAACTGGGTATGGTGGCACATGCCTGTAATTGCAGTCTTCTGGGAAGCTGAGGCAGGAATATTTATAATTTCTCTCATCCACCATAAACAAACAAAAATCAGTAACTCTTCTAACTTTCTAGTAAATGATTCTGACAAACACTTAACTGTCCACAGCAATAAAATAGACAGTCCTTTGTTTTCAGGAAATCTATAAAATAGAGCCTAAATGGCTGGGCATGGTGGCACACACCTATAATCCCAGCACTTGGGAGGCGGAGGCAGAGGCAGAGGCAGAGGCAGAGGATCCACACCAGTTCAAGGCCAACATGGGTCACACAGGGAGTCTAAGGCCTGAACTATACAATGAGACCCTGTCTCAAAAACAAAAAGGAAAAAAAAGAGCCTAAACACATTACATGGCTTTGTATCTTAAACTAAATGATGTATTTCTAACAGAAGCTTCATTACCTTAAGATCACACTGAACATACTGAGAAAAGACAGTTTTATTATTCACTGACATTTCAAGGGGTCCACTGAAGGACTGCTGCTATTCAAAAACTTGGATCAGTCTTATTATCACCTTGAAGCAGGGAGGCCTTTCAGAACGAAACAGCTGAAGGCAAAGCATCTCCTACATCTCCTGTTTGGAAAATAATTAATAATGAACCAGACCTGGGGAAGCACAGGAGGCTGGGCTCTTGTGCAGTTGAGCCCTATAGGGAAATGGGGCTTGGTACACAGCAAGGCCTCGCAGCAGAAGAGATAACATGGGCTGCTGCCGCATGTGGGTCTGGCCCTTGTCCTACAGAACAGTAGAGCCTTCTTATTATAGACAGCTAAGTTAGGTAGACATATTCTAGGCAGCCAGACAGAAATAGGCCCTCAAGAGTCAGTGCAGAGGCTGAGAACACACTGCCACTATGGGGGAGGTGCACTAAAGGCCAGATCTGAAGACAAAGATGGAGTAACCCCACCCACATACTTTTGGTAGGCATGAACAGCAGTGACTGACACTCTAAATAACACCTGTCACCTTGGGGGTGGGGCAGGAAGAGCCACTGACCCCTCCTCCAGGAAAGGCCCCTGTTCTGTCCCAGGCATGCTGGCAATATGACTTCTTCCCCATTTGACCCCCACTTAATCAATATTACCTAAACAATTATACTTATACTCCTATTAGTTTACCACAGTTTTGTCCCCGCTCATGCCTACCTTGTGATTTCCCATTTATTAACATCAAGTGGTTATCTTCATAATCTTATTGGTTCACTACAGTTTTATCCCACCTCATGCCCATTTATGACTTTCTATTGGATCAATGTTACCTAAGCAATTATACTTGTAATCTTACTAATTGATTATAGTTTTTCCTACCTCAGACCTGCCTCACCTTGTGGTTTTGCTTTATAAAATTCTCTTGAGAAGTAGCACCTTCAGAAACTCACTATAAACTTCTGAGACAGAAGCTTTCTTTCCCCAGTAAATAGATTCTGCTCTTAACCTCTGTTGTTCCTAGAATTAATTCTTCGATTTTAGAGAATACAGACTCATACTGGACATATAGCACGCTGGGAACTTCTTTCCCTTATATCGTTCTTAGACATGTTAAGGACACCAGGGGCTGTTAACTTGGTTGTTTATTTCTTTATTGGCATCTAAAGAGATTGGCAAACTTAAATAGGCCTAAGCTGTAGCAACCACTGTGTCACAGCTTCAGGAAAGAAGAGTGAGACAGGGAAGAGCAAAGCTAAGTTCTGTCCCCAAAGTAAAAACTCAGCTCACAGGGCTAGGGGGCATAGCTCAACGACAAGAGTGCTTGCATGCCCAAGACCATAGATTCAATCCCCAGCACGGCAAAACAAACAACACAAAAAGCATCCTAGCTCATAAA